GATATCGAATATTTATTAAAAAAATATTTACAATAAAGAGCGAAAATCGTTTGAACTTTTACAGCGCGCCCTCAATCAGTAGATTTTATATACGTATTATTTTTTGTCAATGATATACGCTACTCATTTGGAGACTTGTTTGAGGTGACGTTACTCCTCTATTCATTGGATTCAAAAAATAATAATAGTCCGCGTGTATCTGTATCTGTATTTTTCATTTGAAAACGCAGACCCCGTGCTCTCGTTTATTTTTGTCTCTTATATATTTATTTGTTTTTTTTTTTAAAAAAAAAATTTTTCCCGTATCGTAACACATCATATATTTCTAATATAATATGGGCGATGACCATTCTTTTAATTAATACAGATTTATTTATATAGCGTTCCGTTTAAATTTTTATGTATTTTAAAATCATAAATTGTCTTGTTAACATTTCGAAAAACCAACAAAAAATGTAAAATACGTAAAATGTGTCTTGGCGCGCAACGGCGGTGAATAAAAAATGCTAATGCCATCTAAGCGAACGGCTCAGCGTATCATTTATGTATAGGTAATGCGTATGTATTACTATATCGGTTCGGACTATTTGAAGGGCGGTTTTTTGTTGTTTTTATCTTGTTATTCTCTTTAAAATCCATTCGGTAAACGGTTCGTTGAACCGCACGTGGACAACACACGCCACGAGGATATAATGTGCGTATAATGTTTACGTCGTTCTTTTTTATATGTGTATAAACATGCGCGCGCCACAGTTTAAATAACTCGAGAATTTTTTAATGGAACAACCGCGGCGGTGGCGTTATGTGTAAACATTCCCCCGACCACCGACCGGGTTTGTATAGTCGTGTGGTGTCTATCATTATTATCATCGCCACCATCATCGTCATCGTCATCATCACGCGAACAACAATGGCGACGAACGATTTATACCAGCGTTCGAAAAACCGTAAAATCCAATTCGTCCGTCGGTTCGCTCTTCGACGTTATATTAGGATGTAATACGTCTGTATGCATACACAATGCGTACGCAATAAGTGTTCTTAGACAAATATCAACGGTTTTGTCTTCGGTTTTTGGAGACATCTCGGGCTAGTCTGTAATTTTCTCACCGTATTCGGACGCGGGTCAAGAGCATAATAGAATAAATTACAATTTTCGTCGAGATTGACCACCTGACCAGCATACGATCGTGAACTTTGGTTATTATTAAGATTATCAATCACGCGATGCCGCTGCACCTCACTCCCTTCGTGGATGCGTTGACGAGACGTTTGACGCAAAATATATGGCTGACCCTTCGTCGTAGTTTATATGCGCGTCGTCTTTCATCGCGTGGCAATGTGATTTCCTCACTGCCGCACACGTATGCACTACCAATGACTCCGAAGGGTTACGTTTTACCGTGTAGGAGAACTGTGCATTATGTTCATTTGGCGTTCGCATTCAATTTAAACACATATGAAGACGTTGCAAAGACGCGTATGCGCGCGGGAAATTACGACCATTTCCTGCGAGTCTTCTTAGCCGTCGCGAAAATCCATCGTTTCACCCTTGCCGCATAAACGTATATCCGATTTGCTGCGACCCGTCTCCGTCCGTTGATAAATACGTGCACATCTTAATCCATGAACATATGTACATATTAATTTATATCTATAAATCGGACCGTCGAATAAACACAAGACGATGCGGTCTGTTTCTTGTTATTGGATTGCATTGCATTTGTGATATTTTCGATTAAAATTTATTTTCGTTAATTGTAGTTGCTATTGCAATTAAATTACCGGAGCATGTATTTGGCGGTCCCAGCGACAAGGAGTGTTATTATTTTGCTTTCAGTCTGTTCATTGCATGTTACACTTACACGTAATAATATTTGATACGATAAGAATTAATTAATTTATTGCTGAAACTACATGGTAGCGGGAGAATAAACTTTCGTCGTTAAATTCTATAAATTATACATATTTATCATTTCCATTCAAAAGCTCAAGCTTCAGTAAATTATATATTATAAATAAAAATACTAACTTATTAAATATGTAATTTTAAAGTTGAATGCATGTATTTTGAAAGTATGTGATGTATATCGGTGTGACTTATTCAAAGTCGAGTTTGTAATGTTTAGAGCGTGAAAGTAAGTAGTGCTGTATTAAAAAAAAAACATAAATCATTTTTTTAAATCGCAATTCACCGTATGAGTGTTTGTATGTATACAGTACAGTAATAATAATTATAATTGAAACAACGATTGGTGACGAAAGACCGTGAGTATGTGATAGCGGTTGAACGGAAAGAGACTGCGGAAAATGCGGTGTGCGTAGGACGAGAGTGAAAAATGTCAATTGTCAGAGAAGAACAATACAGATTAATCGGTGATTTCGAAATAAATTTAATATTTTTCGTAGAACTCTATTAAGTGTTAGATATTATTGTATACGTTGTTGTTGATATTTACTGAACTCTCGTCGTATCGTTCGTTGTAATCGTTCTCTAATATGTGTATTCAATGTGTTATAAGGAGGCAATGAGGTCTCTTTGAAATGTTCTTATACGTATAACATTCATTATACACATACGTGGTGCGTCCGAGTGCGCGCGCTATGAAGAGAGACAAGAAGATGAGCACTGTAGAAAAAAATGCATGTTACAAGGTGTGAAGGGTCATCGTTTATTATTATTATTATTATTATTTTTTATGCATAATTTATAAAAATAATCGTCAATAAATTCAATAAAAAAATAACAATGATTGATATATGCTTGTATAAACTATAAAAGTGTTTTATCTTTTTCAATTGGTATTTTGTTAAATTCGAGTCTGCCATAGAGTTATCGGCGGACCGTTTGCTCGAGTTGATAACCTCGGGAAAAAAAATTGTACCGCTTTGTGTGTGCGCATGTGTATATGATGCGTGTATGTGTGTGTGTGTATTATTTAGTTTTATCGGTCGTGTATTACCTAAGTATAATTTTTTTCAATAATTTTTATTTTTTACGCTTTTTGTTTATTCAAGACATCTTTCGTCGTGTAGTCCGTCGTCGTTTTGATGTTACTCTGTTATCATAACACATATATCAATGTGAATTAATAACATAGTAATATTAATGTTTAGAAATAGATTGTTATGTATTTTAATGTGAGGTGTGCTTTTTAATAAAAACTGTTGAAATTTATATAAAATTCCGTGAAAGATTTTTTATATTTTTACCCATCATGTGTTGTGTAAAATTATGTATTTAAAATAGTTTTAAAGTCCAATAAGTAGCGTCTACGGTGACTCGTGTCCGGTTTACTAATTAAATGTAAAGGATTGTCGTATCTTCTAGTTTTTTTTTTTTTTTTATCACGACGGTGCTGTATGTCATTCGTGGTATATATGATAATTTATTGTTTCAGAATATTATCAATGCACAACGGATAACATAATTAAAATTGTCTTTCCTCGTTAAACTTTTTGTAAAAACATTGATAATTTTAATACAAATTCAGGTATACACATATATATTTTAAATCGATTTTTTGACCTCTAACGCGTAACCTTCTCTTTTGACTCCGAAATTTGCCTTCATAACGTTCGCTTGTAGCACATACTTATAAACAATTAAACGATTCAAGTCTAAAATGTCTTGAAAATATGTATAAGCGTAATAATAAAAAACACGATTTAGTTGTGCGAGTATTACATGAGTATTACAGTATTACATATGAGTGTATGTGCTCTGTAAATGGTAAAATGTATATATATATAGTGTTTGCAAATATATATTTAACCATTAGGTACTGAGAAAGAGAGAGAGAGAGAACGAATTCCATTTGTTCGCTTCATCGAACCGTTTCAAGAGAACCACGTGAAAATGCATTGACCGATAGCTCCAATAAATCAAACAAAATGTGTTTTTTTCGCAATAAAGAATACGTGCTTGAAAAGCAAATTATGTTGCTCTGACTGTATAATATATATATTTGTTTTGTGTATACATTTTTTTTTCAAATTTGTTAGAAAATCTTTTGATAAATACGCTCATTATGCATTTTCCATTTTTTTTTTTTTTTTTAAATAATTTTGCATGCAACAAATAGATGATATTATGACGTTATGAAGAGACATCTCTCAATTATTTTTATTTTTTATTACAATACACGCGCGCCTCTTTTTCATTATCCGCTTTGTAAAATAATGCCTAGTGGTACATTACTATATAACAATGGTTATATTATATTTTCATTCACACGTGCGTTTGATTAAAGCCGGCAAATATCCGATATAACTGACCTTACTCAATAATTTGATGCCACGAGGCAGAAGTTACAGTGAAGTTATGAGTATTGCGGACCACAGTTATGAGGAGAAATTTCATGAGAATTTAATTTTTAGTCAAGTTCCACATGGCTTTTTTTCATCGGCTTCATCAAATAATGCCAAGCGGTACACTGTACTGTACAACAATGATTTTATTATATTTTAATACGCGCGTGCGGTCGACCGAACCCGGCGAATATTTGATAAAACTGATCTCACGCAATACGTCGACTCCACGAGGCTGGAGGACATAATAAACACCTTACAGTATAATATGTATAGTGTTTATAATAGTATACAAGTTTTTTATACTTTCGTAATCTGATAAGTTAATTTTGAATTTATACCCGTCCATAGTTTACATACAAGTTTAGACCTAACACATCAGAATATGATAGTATAACAATTTACGGATACGCCATTCTTCGTTTGTCATTTGTTCGATTTATTTTTCTTTTTTTTCTGGAAAAAAACGCGTTTCACACGTGAACAATTACAAAAATGATCGTACTCTGCTACAGCAATATACACATAAAACGGGTCGAGTTAACTGGTTGGGATAATTTTTTTATTTATTTTTTTTCGTTTTCCCCGATTGCTGCAGAGCGTGTTCAATGCGCGACTTCGGGGTGCACTTTGGTTTTCAAACAAAATTATTCGCGGTATTAACATTTTCACGTGTTGTACTGTTGCAGTGTAATGTCATCGAAACGTAAATCACCGCCGTCCAAACTGCTAGAGAACGCTACGAGCGCGTCGGACACGACGACGACAGGCTGCACCACCGGTACCGCTGCGGCGACCGAAGAGAACGGTAGCGGCGGCGGCAGGAGCAGTATCAGCAGCAGCAGCAGCAGCAGCAGCGGCGGCCATCAGTCGGACGACGGTACCACCGGTAACATGGAAACGGCCACGGCCACCGCGTCCGCGACTGTGACGGACAGGAGTTGCGGCAGCCCCGTGATGACCAACAGCCCACGGCCATCGTCGGTCACCGCCCGACCGGCTAGCAGCAGCGGTGGTACGTCGCCGTCACCGTCGTCGGACAGCGAGAACAGTAGCAGTGGTGGCGGCCGATACGCGTCCGGTTCGTCGCCCGTCCAAGGCGCCGGTCGACAATCGTCCTGCAGCAACACCACCAACAACAACAACAACAAACGCCAACGCACCGAGAGCCCTTCGTCGGCTGCCGGATCGGCCGCGGCGGCTGCGCTCGGAGCGTCGCCCGACCACAGGGCGTCGCAGCAGCAGTACGCCGGGTACGTTCGTCAACAGTCGACAGGGTCGCCGCCGCAACAGCACTCGTCGTCCGTCCACCAGCCGCCGCCGATCATGCAAACGTCCTTCCAGCAGATGCTCAATCCCAGCGCCGCTTTCTACGAAACAGCTGTGGCCGCGGCCGCGTACGAACGAGCATTTCTAAACGCTGGTGGCCACCACATCCACCAGCAGCAGCAGCAACAGCAGCAACAAGAACACCTGTCATCGCCGTACCACCACCTGATGGACGGTGTCCAGGCCGCAGCTGCTGTGGCCGCGGTCGCGGCTGCAGGCTCGCCGTTTTTTGACATCGAACAACGGCTCCGTAAGAGCGGTACCGACGAAGCTGACAAGCTCGCTCACCTCATGCACCTCAACAATAACAACAACAACTACAACCATAACAATAATAAGCGGTCCATGGACGACGTGCTCAAAAAAATCTCGTCGAAAATGCACATCAGAGACGATCACGGTATCGCGATGGCCGTCCAACGTCCTGAGTCTCCCAAAACCAGGTCAGTCCATTTGTATGTTTATACGACCTCAGTACTTTAATATTTTCTCTAATATATATGTATGAACGTATTGTTGGTGTATAAATAAATCAAGCTGAAAATATAATAAGACTGTTAAGACATTTACACCTTGACGGATAGTAAAACTACATTAAAATAACATTGTTTGACGATTTTCTTGTAGGTATTTAGCGGAGTCCTTAATAAAATGCCTGATTTTGGCATTTGCTTACGGCATATTTTATGTTTTATGATAGAAAGTCCAATCGGTATTGAATATCTTACGAAATCTACAACAAACACACTCTTGTATGCAGGTATCAAAATCCATAATCCTAATTTCGGTCACGTTAATCTCGGTTCATTTCGTGTAGGTAAAAAATGTGATAAAAACTTCATTCCCGCAGACGATTAGAATTGGTGGTCGTACTGTACGGTGGTAGGCAGGGACGTACCCAGGAATTTTTTAGGGGGATCCAAAGTTTTTATTTTATCTGTTCTCTATTTATAATTATAGTTTAATTTAATACCAACAAATTACTGTTAATAGCTATAGTAAAAATCACAATAATTATGCACACATTATACATATTGTGCATAAAGGTTTACTACAATAGGTAGGTACTATAATTTGAAATCAATTTTTATTTGGATGTAAAATATTATAAAAAAATATAATATTTAATTAATAATAAGAAATAATATGAAAAAAAATCAGTATAAATTAAACTTGGTTTATATATTATTGGTATATTATATAATCTATAAGCTTTGTATATTGAAGGTAATGAGAAATTAAAATACACTATATATTATTTACTATTAAACCATTGAGTATGTAGAAATTTCAATGGGGGGGGGGGTCCGAACCTAAACCACCCCCCCTTGGGTACGCCTCTGATGGTAGGTACAATATGATTGTGAGTGATTGATGAGCAGGTAAAATATGTGTGGTTGGTGTGCGTTCTAGTTTTCGGTGACAATCGAAAGCGGTATTATATGTATACGTTGAAGATAAAAAAATATTAACAACAAACGATTATTCATGATGAGATACTCGAAGAAATTTTTTTTTATAGACCACTCGAGATCATGTACCTTTACAGCTACCTTATAAGTGTACGTCGTACACTTCACGCATTCGATTGTTCTCGTATATAATAATTATACCGTTTAATGTATTATAATTGAGTATTGTTCCGCGATGGAAAGTCGATTGTTGTTCTTCTAGAGATAATGCTCTTAAAAATAGCAATCCGTTGGCTATATCGAGAAATATCGTGGAGGGGGCGACGAAGGGTCGAGTTGAAGAGAGGAGAACGCGGGTGTCGTATTTTCCTCCGCCACCACCGCCGCCGACGCTTGCATATACACATCAAATATCGCGTTGTACGGCATTCGCGCAGTTTTTGGGCGGGGACTGTGCGGGACGTGTTTAACAATAATACAATATTATAACACACTCGACCACGCGCTCGCGCACGCACAAACCGCTCTAATGTTTTAATCCCGTAGTGACGTAGTAGCGTCGAATGCATATTATTATCGTTATTATACTAATAATCGAACGCAAACGTCGTCGTTGTTCAATCTCGGCCGTAACGCTGCGCGCTCGTCGTCCCTACGTCTAAAAATTATTGAGCACATTTTCGGTTCCGGTAGCGCTCAGCTCAAAGCCGTGTCCCGCTCGTAATTCAGTGCGTTCGTCCGACGCGTTTACCGCGCACTAATACAGGGCAGGCTCGTGCACCCCCAAAAGTCGTATTCCGAATATACCTGTACCGCGCCGTTGCCCTGTGGTTCCTCGTAGCTAACCTTCTGCCTAACGATCGATTTGCCATCGCCGGGTGCGCCGCAGGAAATATTATTTTTCTCGTCGCAAAAAGATAATAAACGGTAAGAGACGCAGGACGACGGAAAATTAAATCACCATGTGTTCGAATTGCATGTTGCTCATCAGACGGAGTGGCGGCAACTACGGTCTGGGGTAAGTTTAAAAGTTTCGAAAGGATGTTCGACGACGCGAACGTGGTTGTTACCGCCGCGGTTATAAGTGTGCGCAGGTTCACGGTTGTCCGCGTACGTTTCGCACACGCTAGTCGACCGGCCACTGCCGCCACTCTGCCGTGTTCCGCACGTACAATAATTGTTTTACGGGTAATCTATGCGAACTTTAAACCCGTTGTCCGCCGGCAATAATATGACGTTACAATCGTTATTCACTACTCACGGCTGTCGATCATCGACTTTAAATTTGTAACGATATAAATAAAATAAAACCTATATTTATTGTCTTAATCTAGTTTAATTTCCTTGTTCATTTGTGTATACCAACGTTTAAAAAAAAGGAAAAATCGCACGCCAAATATGTCAATCTGTTCAAATTATTACAATGTGTATTCTTGGCATCAACGTTCATTAACAATACATTTTTAATGATTTTACGTTATTTATTATTTTTTTTTTTTTTTTGTAAAATCTTTGCAAAAAATAGATTATAAAATATATATTACATTATCGAGATTAAATAATGAAAATATTTTACTTTCTTATTATTATTAATAAAATTAATGTTATCGGTGCATTGTTCAGTATGTTAGAAAATTTATTTAGCCCTAAATACGTTATTACCTCATAATCAATCATGTTACTCGATAGCTTTTCATACTTACCGCACTCGAAACAAGTGTCCACTAATCCGACATTTTATTTATGCATTCGAGTGCTGCACTGACGACAGCATGAATGTAGTATTTTGAATCTCGTAGATTTATTTTCGTGCACACGCACTGCAGTGTCCACGTGTATTATAATTCTCAAATGACGTATACGTTATGTTATCAAAGAAAGATATGAATATTACGGTGAACCGTGCGTGTTGTTCTTGAATAATTTTGAAATATCTAAAAAAGGTTTGACAATTTCCTTCTGCTGTGGTCGAAAAAAATGAAAAAAAAAGCTCGCGTAGTCTTTTCGTCCACGTACGACGAGTTTACGTTATAATATCATGTTATGTGTACAAATTGATACAAATTTCCTACTCTACATGACGGATCTCTAATAAATTTCCGCGCAGCTTAGGTTGCCCGTCGTAAATTAATTGTCTAATTACAACATACCGTGGTTGGAGGGTGAGGAGGATCCTAGGGCTAATGGATAGCATCCTCGCCCTCTCCCCGTGCACCGCATCTTCTATCCGGCGCACATTTTACATGCATACACCGAGTTCAATCGTATATAAAACCGTGGCCAAGGGCCAACAAAATTTATCTGCCCCGCGGCAAACCTCCGCGTTTCGGTTTTATAGCCTCTACGGACCAGCTCTGTTTCGCGCGCGCCTTCTCCACTCTTCACGCGTTGTCCACCCTCTCACGCACGCATTATCTTTCTCCGTTGTACGCAACGCGTTTATAAACGCTCTTTCGGTTTTATTATTATCATATAATATATTTACAGCTAATTCCTCTTATGCTGCTGCTGCTACTGCTGCTGCTCTCCACGGCTTGTTTAGTAGGTTTATTGTTTCGTATTTTTAGATTTTTAATATTAATAACAAAAAAAATTATAATAATAATCGTCGTAGCCGTGGTACCACCAGTAACTGCAGTATCATATGTCGTAGTTATGTCTTATTTATATGTATGTTTACCGATCGAAGCAAAACGAGACGAGTTTGATGACAAGTGCACAAAATACGCCGTGCTATAGTTGAGCTCAACCTATACGATAAAGATATTCGACAAGCTCCACCGCAAGTCTTTCGCAAAATATCAATCGGATATTTAACCCCTGATTATGATACTTTTGATAGATAGGTATTTATTAGTTTTTCTCTGCAAATATATATTTGGTATATATCACGTCGATCTTCGTGTGCAAAATTATTTTTTTTCAAATGATAATTGCCAGAAGACTCACCCTTAATAATTCAACAAGAGCAAAAAGAACCCTTGTTACTGACTCGATGTTTTTTATAAGTTCTGTGTTATAATCTCTTATACTTATTAGTTCTAATATTATACTTTGTCTCAAGTATCTCATTCTTCAATATTGTTTTTTTCGTTCCTACGTTTCTCTACTCAAAGTTATACAAACAGACAAAATCAAAACATTATTATCTCGCTCGTGGCTACAATAGTAGATGAGATGAATAGACGGTATGAATTATATTGTAAAATTGCATTTGAATCCTCACATTTGTGCTATAGCCTTCCGCTGCCGCCGCGTTATTATCAGTCGGAGATAAAAAATGTGTTTTTTTCACACTCTCACCAAATAATATCGTATCCGACGAGAATTATCATTGTATAATTATAATTATTATTCGACGAAATAATAAATGGTCGAAAAAAAATAGTCATAAATCAACGCACTATAATGCCGCTGTGCGCGACGAACACGTTTTGCACGATACAGCCATGAGTAATGTGTGTATATTTATATTTTATCATATTGTATATGATATGTATATCATATGTATGTGTTCTGATCATCCTTATCGATCGCGGGCGAACCGAATAATCATCGCCGATAGCATACGATCGTTTCTTTATATCATGAATCAGAACACCCGATGCTTATTAATTATTAATTAATATAGGTATCGATTGCATTAGGTATATTTGTACAAACAACACGCATCGCCAGATAACGAATGCTGGTCAAAAAGCTACGATTAATATATTAATATAACAATTAAATGATAGTAATTATTATAATAATATCGTAGGGCATGTTGGACGATGCTAACGGTATCCCTCTCCTCCCGTAACCCCGCTCTGGTTACCGCTATATAGCAGACGTTCGCGACGTATTGTTCCAAATTAAATTATGCGTTTCGACTGCGTTGTGCGATTCCATCTTGCTCGCGAAAAATATTGCTCGGATTTTTCGTTAAAACGTTGTCGCCTCCTCGCGTTCGGCCGTTTCTCACGGTACTCCTGGGCGGCGGTGGTGTTGGTCGCGTTTTACATTTGCGCTGAGGGATTACAACATCCGAC